TGATCTTATGTTCTTATGAGAATAGGGCCAGGGCTTTCTCTGTAAATGTGTCTCTCTGCATGGTGTGAAGGTGGCTCTCCTCTTTTGAGCTCTTAAAACACAGATGAAAATGCTCTCTTTTGGATGGGGTAGTAGGCAATAGCCTCTTCAATCAGTTGAGTGATATACTGTTTAAAATGGCTTTGAGTGTCTTTTTCTGTGAATCAGTCCATATGCACTGTATATTCTGATATTTTTTAAAAATTGTGGGATTCCAGATACCTGGCATTCCTGTGTATTTATGAAATTTGTTTTCAGCTTCACTTTTGGCAGGTTCCACAATGTCCTCAGGTTATTGCTCATATTGTTAAGACTAGCGTGCCACCAGTCCAGGTTGTCCAGAGGTTCCCATCAGCTCAAGAACTGCAGATCTTGGAAGCTAAGCAGGGAGACCTCCTCTCATGTTCTTATGTCTGGGGCTGTGATGCTCTGCATTCTTGGTGCTTGGGGGGCAAAAGTGGGAGGGCTCCTGGAGTTCTGGCCCTGCAGGTGGACCTTCTGATGGCCCCTGAGCAGGTGGTACTGGGCAGATGAATAGGGCTGGATGGTATCACCCTCCTCCAGCACCCTCCTCATGGTATCACCCTCCTCCAGCACAGTAGGCCTTTCCTTGATGCAAGGGGTGTTAACTATCATGTTTGTACCAAGCTCACAGAAATGATGCTTGGGCCCTGTGTGTGTATTGGAGAGGGGCCGTGGCTCAGTGATAGAGCATCTGCTTGGCATGCAGAAGGTCCCAGGTTCAATCCCTGGCATCTCCGGGTAAAAGGACCAACAGAGAAGGTTGACATGGGTGGTTTGCTTGTTTTCCCCCCCCCACATGTGCCATCAGATAGGCTCGCCAGCTCTGAGTTGGCAATACCTTGGAGATTTTGGGGGTGGAGCCTGAGTGGTGGGTTTAGATTCAGAGGAATTAGCTGTGTTAGTCTGTTGCTGCAAAATAGTCCAAGAGTTCAAATAGCACCTTTAAGACTAACAAATAGCACCTTTAAGACTGAGTGGTGGGTGTGGCCTTATGACACACTTCTGATGATGGCAGGGGGTGTGGCCTTATGACACACTCCCGGTGATGGCAGGGGGTGTGGCATATGCTAATGAGTTATGCTAATGAGTCCCCCTAGCTCTTTTTCTACGAAATGACCCCTGCCAAAAAGATTGTACAAAACCAAGTTTGAGAGAGATCACAGCAAAGTGGGGGGATACATGGAAAAAGGGCAGTTAGAGGATGATGTCATGTGGATGATCTACAAAAACACACACACACAAATCATGCCTCAAACCAGGGTAGAATGTCTGTATGGAAGCAGCTTACATTAAGTGTTCGGGATTTGACTACAGATTCCCAGCATCACATGTATTTATATCCTTGTTAAATACTGAGTTCAAGACGCATTACAGTGAACAGCTATACTTTATTTAGTGATTTCAGGAACAAGACTGAAACCCCAGGGCGATAGCCCTGTTTAAATAGCATGCAATAAACCACACCCAACCACACCCCACTCCCAACTATAGGCTATTTACATAACAGAAGTTTATCACTGGTTACTTCCAGAGTCCTTGTGGGCTATTGTTCTAGAGCGCCAAGCTTAGCCAGTCTCTGGTATATAGTCCTGATACATAACAGTCCTCAAACACAGCCAATCTAAGGACTGATTCCAATGGATTTAGGGACACACCTAATAAGAAAGGCACAGGTAAGCATGTTAGGCCACCCATGTTCTGTTTATATATAATGGGAGGGGCTTGAAAACAAGTACATGGATAAAGGGAACTAAATTCTGCCCCATCCACTTACACACCTTACCTGTGGTCTGTTGCATCACATGCATTGCAGTGAACAGCCAGTTTGGCGTAGTGGTTAAGTGCGCAGACTCTAATCTGGGAGAACCAGGTTTGATTCCCCACTCGTCCACTTGCACCTGCTGGATGATCTTGGGCAAGCCATAGTTCTGTCAGAGCTGTTCTCTCAGGGACAGTTCTCTCAGAGGTCTCTCAGCCCCACCTACCTCACATGGTGTCTGTTATAAGCCATTCTGAGACTCCGAGTGAAGGGCGGGTATAAATTAAATCTCCTCCTCCCCTCCCCAGCCTGACTCCCTCAGGTCTAACCTTGCCTCTGCAATATAGAGATCAATTATAATACTGACTACAATAATTATTGTGTGTCATCATAATGGCAACTAGGATCATGGGGTTTTAAGAGATGAGCAGAGGTGGTTTACTATTGTCTTCCTCTGCATTGCAACTATGATCTTCCTTGGTGATCTCCCATCCAAGTACTAATCCTGGTAGATTGTTTATCTTCTGGTGAAATTGGGCTAGTCAGGCTACTATAATACTGGCTATACCCGAGATTATTGTAGAGTTTACTGAGATAATCTGTTTCGAATTTGTAACATATTATTATGCCCTTTGGACTCTCTTATGTCAGTATCACTTAACTCGGATTTGCACATAAACAGTCTTGTACACTGTCAAGACAAATACGTAAGCAATCTCTTTGTAACCAATCCCTCCCAACAACTTTTCGTTATTTATATAAAATCAAAGTTTATGGATTAACGCTCCTATGCATTTGATGACGTACGCTTTGGCTCGTGAAAATGTATGCGGAAGTAATTTCTTTTTAGTCTTTAAAGTGCCACTACCTTCTTATTTATTCTGCAGTAAAGTGGAAGTTGTTTACTACGTTCATTGCATATATTTAGTTGTTCACATGTACAGGACCTGCGGCAATAATTCCCAGTGAACTAACCCGGTTAATAGTGCATTTTCCCTTTGATACGGAAGTTCCACTGAATTCAGCAAGCTTGACTCCCGAGCAGTTGCTCCAACATTTCCTCCCGTTCTGCAGCAGCGTATATCTGTGTCTCTTAACACGCAGGATTTCTCACTGTGGTGTGGCCTGTGGTTTCAGCCAAAATGTTCTGTATCTGTGCAGTTAAAATCCTGATCGTCCCACTCTAAGAATACATCTTTCCCCCGCCCCCATTTCTCTAGTTAACACTGCTCCCGTCTCCTGCCCTTGAGCCCGTTTGCTGTCCCCTTTAACTCGGCGGCGGAAGCGGCACGGCGACCGGTTTCTGACGCCCAATGAGTTCTTGCTGCGCGTCTTCTGGCCTGGCCGGGCTGGGTCCGTCACTTCCTGCCCCTGAAGCCGGCACGAGGGAGTCTGAGATCCTGGGGAGGGGGTGGGGGAGGTTGCGCTGCTTTCGCCACCAACATGCCCTTTGATTTCAGGAGGTGAGTGTGGCGACCCCAGGACAAAAAGGGGCGGTGATGGACCCCTGGCGCATGGGCAGAGTTCCCGCACTTGGGGGGTGGGGGGAGCCCATGTTGATTTGTGAAGCTCTCTCCCTTCTTATTAGTCTGCGGGAAGAAGAGGCGAGTTGCGGATCCCTTGAATGCAGAGCGCCCCTCTGCGGTGCTGGTGGGATGGGGTGAAAATGGCTCTTAGCAAGTAGAGCTTCATGTGGGCACAGCTGAGCAATGCCATCATGCACATGGGTCAAAAAGGAGGGGTACAAGAGAAAATTTATTTTGTTTGTTTCTCTTGCCTAATGAACGATGATCTCTGTTCTTTCAGTATTAGGAGAGAGCTTGTAGGAGAGAGCAGTTGGTAGCCCCCAGGCCACATTTGGCATGAAGAAAGGAACTGCCATGATCTCAGTTGCCAACTCTGAGATAAAAGAGGAGTGTGAAGAAAGTAGTGCTTGTAAAAAAAGCCCCCCCTCGCTTGCTTTGCAGGAGGGTTGGAGTTGGAGCCTTATCCCGATATCGCTTATTCTGTTCTTCAACAAAATGAACTGTTGACCAGAGTCATAATTTTGCTGAATGGACAGCAAATAGAACAATCTGAAAGTGATGGGAGCAAAAGGGAATGTTCATTAGCTGTTATAGGGGCTCATTTGTTAAAAAGCTTGTGGTTCAAAGGGGGACATCTGGTGTCACCATTAGAGCCCCTGGAGTAATTGGAAGTATGTCAGGAGGAGCCAATGTGAGAGCTAGTGTGTGGTATAGTGGTTAGAGTATTGTACTAGGATCTGGGAGACCCCAGATTTGAATCCCCACTCTGCCATGGAAGTTTGCTGGGTGACCTTGGGCCAGTCACACACTCTTAGCCTAACCTACCTCACTGGGTTGTTGTGAGGATAAAAATTAGGAGAGGAGAATGAGGTAGGCCGCTTGGGGGCCACTGGGAAGAAAGGCTGGGTAAAATGAAAGAAATAAAAAATAAGTGAACTAAGGAGAGCAGGCATGGAGAATGAGCAGTACATATGGTGGAGGGAAGCTGAAATAAGAATACAATGACATGTGTTGAGAATGTATGTGTCAGACATTTATTTCACTTACACTCTTGAAGTGACATCCAGATATACCAATCGACTGTCTGCCATAATACTTCTTGCTGTTATATCACCTGTCCTAGTTGCAGGATCAAATTGCTTTTGATGCCGAGTGGTGATACGTGCTCAGTGACACTGTTCTGTCATTACTATCTCCTTCCCGAATAGTTGATGTGCTGTCCTTTTGCCCATCCTTCATATTAGCAGTTTACACTTTCTTCTGTATTGTTGTTTGATCCTAGGTTTGGTAGTTCTTCAGTTATTTTGGAAAGGCTCTTATCATATCTTATATTCTCTCTGCATCTACCCACCTTCTTGCTTGCATCTGATCTTCATTCTGTTATGTGATCCAGTGTGATGTGACCAGGTCTGGAGAAGTGGCATATCGTCTAGATACACAATTATTATGACTTTAAAAATTATTATAAATAAGTAGTAGTTTCTTTTATTCTCATTATTTTCAATTGCTGTTCTTCCATTTTTCTTACTAAGTCCTCAGATCAGATGAGTGGTTATTGGGCAAAGTATGTTGCTATATAGAGCAGGAAATTTTTGCATGGAAGTCTTTGTAGCTCCATTTTCTGGTATATGGTTATTATTGCCCTAAAATGATTGTTTCTATAACAGTGATAAATGTGCTGTTGTATTCTACTGAGACAGCCATTTCTGGTTGTATCTCTCAGGCTGTCTGCTGGAAAAAAAATACACAACCAGGTTCTGAAACTTGGTTTGCTTTCATATCATGGGTCAATGCAGTGCTCAAGTCCACCCTGCCACCTCTGCTTACAAAGGTCCCACCTCTGCTGTTGTTTAGCAGAGGTGTCTGAATCTCTGCCTAAGGGGAGGGAAATAGGTGGGAATGTTAAGGATGAAAACATGCTGTTATTATGTAACACTTGAATGTTCCAGTTGCTTGCTGAGGTCTGTGCCACAGAGAGCTGATGGCATAACTTTGATCAAAGCTAACATGCAAGAAGGCTTACAGGTAGGGTGTGGTGGCCTGGTTGATGGACATGGGTGGTTGCAAAAAAAGTTCAGCTTTGGAGGAGTGGAAGTTCAAGGCTGTTCCAGACCTATGATTATCATTATGTAACATTATGTTACAAGTTTGTTTTAGATATTTGAGGGCACTGGTTGCATTGGACAAGGATATCAGAGAGTTCTTTTTAATAATTTGTGCCACCTTAAATAAGTTTGAGAGAAAGCCACTTTATTTTTGACCAGAAAAATGATGATGTTGGACAATAGTGAGTGATCCCCCCCCCCATCTCTGGAGGCAGAATTCTGCAAATTCAAATACACGTATTATTTACATATTAAGTACTAAAATTTATTTGGGGGATTTTCAGACATGATATGCTTATTGTGAACACTGCCTGTGATGCATAGTAGCAATGGGTCAGCCATTTCCTTGGAGTAGGAATCAGTGTATAAAAGTACTACCTAGATTTGTTTGCTTCTTTTGAAAAATAGGAATAATAAAGTGCATCTCTGAGGACCAAGATGATTGCAGTGGATTAGACTAGTTTGAAACTGATATGGAACTAAACTTGCAGAAGTAATCTTATTGCCTTTCCTGAACATGTGATTTAATTCACTGATCTCAGATTGTGTTGTATTTATTTGTCAATCCAACTGCATTTTTGTCTTGCCTTTTGCAGAAGGAGTTCATGACAGCAAACATGGGGTACCCAATATGATCCAAATTCCTCGGTATAATTCTTTCACAAACCATTTCTGAATTGGACCTACCAAATGGTAATCCATGCCATTTCATGTCTTCTTGTGTGGAACAATGGATAGACTGCTCCACTCTGTACTGGATGCAGCTTTTGAATGGTGTCTAAGTGCTGTCCTATGCAAAGTGAACCTTGTAGTTTAGCACATCTAGTGGCTTGCATTGATTGCCTCTTGCTCATCTCTGGTGCAGGGACAAAGAAACCTACTACTTGTCTTTCCCCCCCTGTACCATTCTTTCCTTAGAATCATGGAATCATAGAGTTGGAAGGGATCTCCATGGTCATCTAGTCCAACCCCCTGCACAATGCAGGAAATTCACAAATACCTCCCCCTCCACACCTGCAGTGACCGCTGTTCCATGCCCGGAAAATGACAAGAAACCTCCAGGATTCCTGGCCAAACTGGCCTGGAGAAAAATTGCTTCCTGGCTCCAAAGTGGCAATCAGTATTTTCCTGGGCATGTAAGAAAGGGCCACAAGAACTAAGCACTGAGGCAACCCGTCCTGCCCTCCCACTCATGATCTGCCTTAGTTCATTGCTGTTAGATGGCCATCTAGCCTCTGTTTGAAAACCTCCAAAGAAGGAGAGCCCACCACCTCCCGAGGAAGCCTGTTCCCCTGAGGAACCGC